ATGCTAGTTTAAATGGTAATCATGTAACACTGTCATGTAATATTTTGTCCTGATATAGTATAATCCAAGTAAGGGTAGACAGCGCCATTCTTTGTCAGTCTTCAAATAGTAGAAGGGGGCACGGGTGGCCCAGTCGTCTAAGGCGCCGTGGTTCGCTGTGCAGAGTTGCGTCCCTTGGGCACGCCAGAAACCTATGATTGTGGGTTCGAATCCCGGTCTGCCCCGATTATGTTTCTAGGTTTGTCAGCACCATACCCCTGCTCGTGGGTTTTACCGAAGTAGTAAACGTCTGAGACCTGCATCACTTCGGGCTTTCCTCCCACATTAAGCTGACACGCCGTGATATAGCTGGAATACTGTTAAAAGCGGCGTAAAACCCAACTCACTCACTCAAATAGTAGAAGGAACTATGTACACCCACAGTCACGTCATCACTTGCCTTCGTTTTGTACCGGCTGATGTATACCGGTGGTTTCCGGTATAAGCACTCTGGGTAATCCACGCTTGAGAGAAACACGTGTGTTGTGTTTTATGTGGAGTGTTGAGTTGAGAGCTAATGACTGAGCATAAGCAAAACAATTACAAAACCAGATATTTTATTTACTTCAAAGAAAACACCTGCCGACAATGTCATTATTGTAACAGGCAGATAAAAAAAATGTCTCAATAGTCTAAAGCATAATTATTGTTTTCAAGAATTTTCGGGATTTTTTTTGGCCGTTACATCGCAGGCTCCCGGCCCAAAGAATATCAAATGTTCGGCCCCCTTAAGGCTCAAATGACTGGGCGATTGTTGCCGCACCACATCGGCTATATTAAACATATATGGCTTATATTAGAATTTGGATATGTATGGTCAACATATTGTTCTTCTCCGCAAATGAAATAGCCAATTCAAACAACAAGCATACTATAGACTGTAATAGTATCTTCCCATCATGATCCAAGTTTGTTAATTTGATGTTTAGCGCCGCACGCAGCAATACTCCAGCTACATGACGGCTGCCTGTACATAATCGAGTCTGAACCGACAATCCAGTGATTCACATCATGAGCATCGATCTGCGCAATTGAGATACGAGGACAATTATCAACCAAATAAGCTAATCCCGGTTCGCCCCGATTATGTTGCTAGGTTTGTCAGCACCATCCCCTTGCTCGTGGGTTTCACCGAAGTGGTAAAGTGAGTGAGATGGGTTTAACACCGCTTATGACAGTCTTCCAGTTACATCACGGCGTGTCAGCTAAATGTGGGAGGAAAGCCCGAAGTGATGCAGGTCTCAGATGTTAACCCACGAGAACGTGTGTGGTGCTCACAAACCTAGAAACATAATTGGGGCGAACCGAGATTCGTGCCCACAATCATAGGCCTTAGACGACTGGGCCACCCGCGCCCCCGGAGATAAATGATCAATTCAAGAACGATCCCTACTATCGGAGAAGCATTTGCAGTCGCTTATGCTGTTCGTCAAAATATAATACCAGCCCCCCCCCCCCCCCCCCCCCCCCCACCCACCCCCCACCCCCCACCCGCCCTTCGACGACTGTATATAAAAGGTTCGTAGACAACGCATTTTATTCTGTCTACTTATCTGTGCTACGTGTTCCTTTTTCAAACAGATGTGCTTGATCTAGGTGCAAGCCCGCCGTATCCCCTTCCTAAGGTACACATACTATTTACCTGTGACCGAGAAAGATAACCAAGTTATTTCTTTTGAAGCTCAAGGTTGGCAATTGCTTCCTTTGTTATCTTATTTATAATATTATCATTCCAAACGTAGACATATAATAACTAAAATAACAATGTCTCTAAAGTTAATTTAACAACATCATTTGCTGTTGTATCTGTTCGTTGCGTTGTGCATGTGTACAAGGCGGGCCCAAGAAGCTGGCAACTCACGTGTCTCACCGAGAGAACTCTCAATTCTGTGTTTCCAGGCAGTCGTTTGCTGCAACATAGGACACACGTGCGGTGCAGGATGTAGTAGAGCCGTTTTGTGACATATATAGGGTCAGTTGTTCACTTTGTGATAAAGGCATGAAATTTGGCATAGTTGTAGGTAATGACATTCCAAATATTTTCAGATATGGGGGCAATCCCCCAAAATCCAATATGGCCGCCAAATCAAATTTGGTCGACGTCGAGGAATAAAATTCTTGTATATCTCATGTCAACATGACCCACACCCTAAATATATAAGGAAAAATGAACAATCTTTCACGATTCCACAAATTAGTCAAGCGTTCTATTTGAGATATGTCTTACTGTTTCACATCTCCCCGAGGCAAGAGAGTTAACTGACTTTAACCCTTGCAGTTTCCACCCTTGCCGAACTAGGCTGGTATTATGGAGTTACATTTTGGCTCTACTAACGAGTCTATGCATAGTCCAATCAAAATCGCGGAACGGAATCAAAAACCGGTACGTAAACTGTCGTGCAGATTTCGGTCGATTGCAGGATTTGCAAAACATGTGCACCGCCAACTCGTTGTCCACATAAATTTTCCAAATCTGTTCATGTTTTTAATCTAGGTGATCAGGTGATTTGATGCATTTCACGATGTTAGACACATTTTGTCACAAAATAGACCTTGATTATCGATCAAATCGTCTTGACTGGGCGCCGCCATTTCGTTTGGAAGAAATGCATGTGACACGAGAAGTGGAATCTGATTGGTCCATAAGAGAGGTTTAGAAGGGACATAACTCGTAATAGCCACTGGTGGCGCTACTATTGAGCCCAGGAATTCCAGCCCAGTTCGGCAAGGGGGGAAACTGGACTTTTAAAGTCAGTTAACTCCCTTGCCTCAGGAAGATGACTGTTTTATGGACAATGACGTTCATCGTTTATGGTGACCATGCTTCCGCGACTGTGTCCCGGATCCGAGGAGACGAAAGTGACCACAGTTGACACATTCATAAGAAACATTCACTTGTGATGTGATGTTTACGTGTACACACACGCTAAACAGGCATAAACGTAACGGTTTGAAACTTGCGTCAGCAGTAAGTGACCCATATGATCGTCTCGAATACCTATCTTCCCACCTGCTGCCTTATCACAAAGTGTTTCTATCGGTCCCTGTATCGCCGCAGACGAATGAGAGGTTGACAGAAACCTTGAGTAACATAGAGCGTTGCTTGATAAATCAGTGGCCTATAGCTAATAACCTGCCGAATCGGATCTTGTGACGGTGCCACCGGTGGGGCAGGATACGCTCGACTTTCCGGTCTCGAAAACCTGGTATCATCGCTTTTTGATAATGATTCATAAACACATGCTCATAGTGCAATCGGACTTGTTCTTAATTCTTAAGGTTATAGCAATGGTTTCGTCACTCTTATTATAGTTGTGTGGGGCACGGGGAGCCTAGTCGTCTAAGGCGCCGCGATTCGCCAGAAACCTATGATTGTTGGTTCGAATATCGGTTCGCCCCGATTATGTGTCTAGGTTTGTCAGCACCATACCCGTTCTCGAGGGTTTCACCGAAGTAGTAAACGTCTGAGACCTGCATCACTTCGGGATTTCCTCCCACATTAAGCTGACACGCCGTGATATAACTGGAATACTGCGTTAAACCCAACTCACAGACTATTATAGTTGTGAACATGACATCGCAGAATTATAGGAGTATGTTTTGTACTCATGAAAGGGCGGATGTGATGAGATCCTAGCATACGTGCAGCATCTACTTAAAATGTCGTCCCAAGGTATGGATGTTGTCATACTTGAGACGGCGCCTCCTCTTATTCTTCGATAATATTAAGTGTTGGATCTGTAAGTAAGGGTGCAAGTGGCAAGTTGGACCCATTTGACCCCCACTTGTCCTTCACCGTGACCCGAGATAGGTTATCTCCTTCACACGATAACGCCTGGCCGGTATGTTTCATTTCAATAATCGGTAGCATTTTGGTATCCCTTATTGGTGAGGGGCGGTGGGGTAGTCTAGTGGTTAGATCATTCGCACGTCACGCCGAAAACTCGGATTCGATTCCCTACATGGGTAAAATGTGTGAAGCCCATGTCTGGTGTTCTCCGCCGTGATATTGCTGGAATATTGCTAACAGCGGCGTAAAACCAAACTCATTCACCTTGTTGATGACGAATCAAATGAGCGAAGTACACAAACTATACATCAGTCATTGTCAATTCTGGAAGGTTTCGTTTGTTTGTTTGTTTGTTTAACGCAGCACTCAGCAATGTTCCAGCTATATGACGGAGGTCTGTAAATACTCGAGCCAGACGATCCAGTGATTGTTATCATGAGCATCGATCCACGCAGTTGGGATACGATGACATGCCTCAACCAATTCAGCAAGCCTGACCACCCGATCCCGTTAGTCGCCTTTGACGACAAGCATAGTTGCGTCTTACGGCAAGCATGGGTTGCTGAAGACCTGTTCTAACCCGGATCTCCAGGGGTCTAGAAGGTACAGTGTATGTTAATTCAAGAATGCCATTACTTTGCAACGGCTATTAAACATAAACATTGTACTCTGCTCACAAGCGACCGATACTTATAGCAACGGCCCACTAAACTGAGGATTGGTTGGTCATTGCACCCCGACGACATGTGTATTTGTCCATGCTATCCACCACTGGTTCGCCAGGCCCCAACCTGATCATGCACAGGCCACCGTAACATAGCTGGAATAATTCTAACTGCGGCATAAAATAGCAATGACTTACTCACGCACTCCACCATATATACTACGGGGAGGCTCTGGCATCTGTCTAAATGTGTAGAGTCGAAGAAACAGTCCAACGTCGCGAAGGATCGTATGTCATGTATAGCATATTATGCAACGTTGGATTATTTCTACGAAACTTTCAAATTATATAAGTTAAACATATATTTTTATATACATATAATGACCGAAATATTGTGAATTGTTTGTGACAGTTAATCAATGAGCTCGTTGTAGAACATGATTTTGAAACTGAGTATATATTACACAAGATAAACGCCCCTGCTATCTTAAATGAAATAAAGGTCACACATCACGATAACGTGAGTATGGATAAAGCAAATGAGATTGGTTTGCGTTGATGCTGAACTGAGGTAGGTGTGAGTGAGACCCCTTCCAACAGAGAGTGTCTTGTACATAGTCGACCATGGGTGCAAGGATTTATGACATTGTGCTGGTCGCAGTCGTAATTGCTTCTGGGGCTGGATTGAAAATGGAGAATGGTCAAAAACACGCTGCCATTTTTGCAAATTCAACCGAAGGCCTAGTTGAACAAACAGCGCAGAATACCAGCCTCTTGGACGACACAGCGAGTCTCGGGAGAGACAGCGGCGTTGTCACTCATCAACATCCAGACATGAACACATTGATACCCACATTTCCTCCAGAAGTCGACGATCCTGGCTTGTTCGCGCTGATGGGGTTTGTAAACAGCATCGAAAGGGTAAAAGGAGGGGGTGCTTTACTTGAATCTCTCATTGTCACACTGGATGGTGTAAATGCCGAGCAGTTGAAAGGGATAACGTCACTCTTGCCACTTATTACTGCTAATCCTGTTCACAAGAATGGTGGTTTCCTTAAATTGATGTCAGTCCTTGCATCCACTCCTGACGGAGAACGTCTTGTTGAACAGGCTATTGGTCTCCTCGGAAATACCACATATGATGAGATTCAAGATGTCAGCAGTTTTGTTCCGATCATCTCTGGGAAGGCTAACTTCAGTGAAGGGGCGCTGATTCTGGATGATTTCATTAAAGGCAACACCAGTGAGGAAATCCTGCTGGCGACACTCGGCACCAATACCAGTGAGAGCATCATGGAAGTGTTACCCGCCGTGTCGGAGCTCCTCCAGACAGGATCAGTGAATGGTATGATTGGGGAACTATTGACCCCAGGTGGAACTGCTAATCAAGTGTTGATGGGTTATATAGGCAAAGTTGGTGGTCAGAACTTGGTTAATTTAGCTAACACTGTGTTGCCTATACTAGCGCCAGTGTTTTCGGCTCCTGGTGGAATATTTAGCAACGCCTCTGCAAACTACACCATGACTGTTCTCAAAGGCGTGTCCCATAATTTGCAAAATGTGACGGTTCAGAAGGAGTTCGGAGCTGTAGCTGCTCAACAAATAGTTTCTATAATGAACAAGGGAATACACATGCTTTCACCGTTTGCAATCTATCCGAATATATACAATCTGACAGTAGGGGAAACGGTACTAGAGGCCGTAGTTTCTCTCATAGCAAATCTCAATACAACTGCTGTTCGTGAAGTACTTGGTAATTCCTCATTGCTGGACAGGGTCGAAGATATAGCGGCACATGCACAGTCCGTTGATGATTTCGAAAAATATATTTTTGAAGTCGTAATTCAACTTATTCAAAGACCGAGAGTGATGCGACTTGTTGGGGGGTTTCTTGGTAGTCAATTCAGCTCGTTGCTCCAAAACGTGTATACAGTCTTATTATCGTTTGAAGATGATCTTGACGTGACAAACTTAACACTGTCTCAGCCACTAGAAGCATTGGAGACAATTCTTGAAAACATTAACGACACCAAACTGGAACATGTGTTGGGTAATTCGTCCATGTCTGACAGGATTATGTCAATCGTCTCACGGTTACAATCTCCAGGACGAGGGGCGGGCGTCAACCCTCAGTGCATGGCAGACCTCCGTGAATATTTCCATGGACTCACAAGACTGGACATGTGGGCTCTCAACAGTATGTATACTGCATTATATTAATTGTTATTTTTCTTTCCCGTGGTGTTTTTTATGTGTTTTTCAGAAATGACTAAGCAGTTGGTCGAGAGGCCTCTTTTAAATCAAAATAAAGTCGGACATTCGTGAGTTACCGTCGCTTTGTTCGTGCATTGATTTTATAGTCGATTATTGTAATAGTCGAAGAGCTAATTTTCAATAGGGGACTATAAGTTTAGTAACGCAGCACTCCAAGTATTCCGGAAGGTTTGCCTTCATATTCTGTTCGTCTGATGTCTCAGGCAGGTTTCAGGCCTTTTGTACGACCTAGTTGTGGTATCAGGTTTTTTCAATAGGTCAATGTTTGTGATAGAGGTAAGTGTTCATTTTCGTTCACAAAAATCATGTTTGAATATCGTGTCGGAATCAAGGAAGCAACTTCCCAATTGCGTCTACAAAATGTTATTGTGTATTATATGGACCCTATTATAATTGTATGTTATAAAGCATAATCTCTACTATATACAGCTTGGTCATTTTATTAGTTATGGCGTATTTAGTTGCCGTATACGGTGGTGTCACTTTGGGATAGCAAAACTATTTAGCGGCCGAGCCCAATATTGTTCTGCTCACCTAATATGATACCGTATACGGCAACTAAAGACACCATAACGAATTTATTAGGCCGAAAAGATTACAGTATTTGGTATCCATAGCTCACATGTCATGGCAAAATGAAAACTTAACACACCATTGACGTTAAGGAATAAAGGGAAGCTACTCTTCAAACCTTAGAGGCCAAACCTTGTTGATAATTTTAACTATAATCTTTATCAATAAAGTCACGAACGTGATCTAAAGAAATATTAATGCCCTTGCACATCAAACTTTATGATATTCAAACACAAAATAGTGTCGCATAACCAATTTTTGTACCACAATTTTCATGTGGAATATGTGAGGTGGGTGTTGGGAAATCCAAAATCCAAAACGGAAAACGGTCTCAAATTAGGTCAGTAACAACCATCTTGGATTTTTACTGACGGTATACAGGCTCATGTGGGGTCAGTAGATCTGCTCGCTGATTGGTCAATTTCACTTTGAGGCATAATAAAACGTCTTGTGAGGTTAACTACTGTTGCTGTATTTTGTACTCTTTAAAACATGATGTCACATGAACAATATACACTAATAGTGATTAGCTTTGATGCGTGCGTTAATAATTATTAATAGCCAGAACTCAGAGCGATAGTGAGTGAGAGATGCACGTACATTAAAGTTTGGATGCAAAAAAAAGGAGCCGGGCTGGTGAAGCCGATGTACTTCATAGTCTTGATTGTCGACATTACACGCAGTAGTTTTCAGATAACACTGACGGTCGTTGTAATTTGTTCAACCAACAATTCCTTGGGAGTGAGGCGATTGTCAGGCCACGCTGCCTCGACACACTGACCCCATCGTTAACCTGTTTTAACAGGTTAGATAGACCTAATGATAACATTGTATAATGCGACTCGACGCCAGGTGAAGAACCGCTTGTGATTGGCGGTATCGCCATGAGGTGATCGATTGACACAATATAACAAGCATTGTAATTAAGTCATCATGAAGAGGCGTATTGTTTTGTCAGATAAGAAATACTGGTCGATGAGGTGCACGTTCTTCGTCCTATTTTTTAGCAAGCACAGTTGCAATGCACAACTACGTGGCATGTTATGTGACATTGTGCAATATCACAAGTGTTTTGCATTTTTTTGTTTACGGTTAGATGTCTTTGACATCACAAATAAACATCATTAACGTCCCTGAAAACGCTAACGGTAGAAACTAACATTTAAGTCCGCTAGTCCTTCTCATGAAAACATAGAAAAACCCTACAACTGGCTATTGGGCAGTTTGGCAAAGACTATAGGGCTAATGCCAATTTCCAACGATGTGTATGTTATTAGAGTGAGTGAGCTGGGTTTAACGCTGCTTTTAACAGTATTCCAGTTATATCGCGGCGTGTCAGCTTAATGTGGGAGGAAAGCCCGAAGTGATGCAGGTCTCTGACGTTTACCACTTCGGTGAAACCCACGAGCACGGGTATGGTGCTGACAAACCTAGAAACATAATCGGGGCGATCCGGGATTCGAACCCACAATCATAGGTTTCTGACGTGCGCAAGGGACGCGACTCTGCACAGCGAATCGCGGCGCCTTAGACGACTGGGCCACCCGTGCCCCCTTAAGTTATTAGATGTCATTAATTTAGGATTGGCAAGGACTACTAACTGTGATGTAATTTAGTGGCAAGTTGGTCACTCAGATGTCGTTGTCAATCGTTATTGTTAAGCCGCATTAAGATGTGTATATACAGTGCTAGTCCTGCTTCTGATTGTCCAGACTATTCCAGGTCGGGTCATTTATTGACGATATTGTATTTCAGCCGATAAACTGTGATGAATCAGCATTTCTGTTGAACCAAACGATTTCTTAAGGAACAGTGCCATCCGCATTAACGGGGTTTCGTTAAGTCACGTGTATGTAGTTACTTGAATACCACTCAACATCTGATAGGGGTATTCTAGCTGCCTTGGTGATGGGATAACTCGGACTGGTTGTTAAGAGATTTCGTACCAGTAGGATGTGATTTGGCCATGGCACTGACGCTTGCATAGCTTGATTTCAAGACAAAATAAACAAAAGTATACTTTCGCCAGCGTGTAAGCTAGCACATTATCTTAACCAGGAGTTAAGTGGTATACATACATTAAAGAATGATCTCATTTAACGTTCCTCCAGTAGTGATCATAGCGAAGATGAAAAACATGTTTTATTCCAATGTCCACTATACGATGATTTAAGATCTACATTTCTTACGAGTATAACGGCTAAAATGTTCAACTTTTTAAACCTGTCAAACAATGAGAAATCGTGTGTCCTTTTTAAACATGAGATATATTTCACTGCCGAACCTTGCCTTTAATGTACAACCCAGAAAGCTGTCGTTATATGTAAAACATGTTTATCTGTATATATCATCTAGTTTTGTATGGTCTCTCAGAACTATATATGAGTGGCCCTGTATTATTATTTTATGCCTGTTTGTTAATGATGTACAGCGATGAGACGAAAATAAAATATCTGTCTGTCTGTCCATTGTCCAGTGCTAGACGCCAGTGGCAAGCCAGGAAGTAGTCTGCTGAAAGGGGCTGTCAAGTTCTACGGTAACTACGACGAGTGTCTGGAGACCAATGTTACACTGAAGGGCGTGGCCGGGGGGCCGGGGCGAGAGATACGAGGAAGCTACTGCAACCTAGCCTTCACCCTGCCACAGTCCGTCCTTGACGCGACAGGTGCTCTGGACACACCAATGCCTGTAAGATACAGATTTTAGCACGTGTGATACACGTGTGATACACGTGTGATGCAGTAGTTAGTTTTGTTTGTCCAACTTACTCGGCATGCGTGTAGTGTACAGTGATATTCACTTTCCAAGGATTTACGAGTATAATAAAGTGTACATATTTAACCGTGCACGGGTGGCCAAGTTGTCTAGGGCGCCACGATTCGCTGTGCAGAGTTGTGTCCCTTTGGCACTCCAGAAACCTATGATTGTGGGTTCGAATCCCGGTTCGCCCCGATTATGTTTCTAGGTTTGTCAACACCATACCCGTGCTCGTTGGTTTCACCGAAGTGGTAAACGTCTGAGACATGCATCACTTCGGGCTTTCCTCCCACATTAAGCTGACACGCCGCGATATAACTTGAATACTGTTAAAAGCGGCGTTAAATCCAACTCACTCACTCACTCACTAACTGTGTATGGTTCTGTGTCCGCAGCTCCCCGCTGACTATGTCCCGGCCCTGGAGTGGCACCTGTGTCTGCCTCAGTCCTGCAATGAGGACACGCTCTACTTCGCCCTGTCTTTCTGTGAGTGGATTACTAACATTGAATTATATATACTCACCGCCGAAAGAAACGCGAGCCATAGCTACATAGAGAGAAGTATGTACTTTAAGAAAAGATGTTTCCAATGTGTACCACCGGCAAAACTAACAATCAATCAAATGCTACCACGGTGTGTCTTTATTCTTATCACGATATGCAGCACGTGATTTCCAAACTTTACACGATAATCCTGCACGAGACAAATGGTGCATCTCGAGTCATGGATCTATGACGTCACATGTGATGCGTTCATGAGCATCGGTTAAAACAACATGCCTGTATGTTTATTGTGCATCGAACCAATCTAATATCATCTCATGAATATGAGTAATTCTTCATATATTAACCAATATGAATGGTATTCGCGTTTCTTTTTTCGGTGAGTATATTTTGAACCAGCCATACCTCGATACAGATTCACCAGTTATGTGCCGACCCGTGAAGATGCCTGGGTAGAACAGGACTTCAGCAACCCATTCTTGCCGTAAAAGGCGACTATGCTTGTCGTAAAAGGCGACTAACGAGATCGGGTGGTGAGGCTCGCTGACTTGGTTGATGCATGTCATCATATCCCAATACCGCGGATCGATGCTCATGATGTCAATCACTGGATTGTCTGGTCCAGACTCGATTATTTACAGACCGCCGTCATATAACTGAGTATTGCTGAGTGCGGCGTTAAACAACAAACAAACAAAAGTTGTGTGCCCTGTTGTATGTATCTTGATGTACCGTTAGATTAACATTGTAAAGACCCTGTCACTGCAATCCCACGTCACAAAATCCGCGTGTCAATGTTTTAACGGATTCGTGAGACATCCTCCAAACTAACAAGTTGAACAATAAAAAATATTAAACTTAATCTTTTGGTGAATGTTGTCAATAAAACAGGCACGACTACCAAACCCACACTTTGTCCCTACGTAATTGCATTCATTGATGTGATGTTAAGTGCATCCCAATTTTACACCAGGCAATAGCCGCGCTTGATTAATATGAACCTATCGCTGCAAGTGCGTCAAGATTTTTTTCACGTGATGAGATATGCATTAACGAGCTGATTAGAACTGTGTAATACTTTGACAACAATTGTGTGTTGTAGTGCCCCTGGATGTGATTGACAGCAGCGTGTACAAAGTGCAGTGTTCACATGAGCAGGACCTCTCTCACGACACGCCCGCCATTACTGCAGTGTAAGTGGTCCAAACTAGCTGCTAATCACACACTGATGCACTAGCTATTCAGGCCAGCACTAGCAGCACACACACACACTGAACGTCAGCAAATGCCGGACTGAGTGATACATGTTTTCATCACTGTAATCGTTTTCCTACAAGTATTGAATATTGAAGCGATATACAAAGTGTTCACATATAAAACAGTGGGACAGAACGAGAATAACAACATAGGCTGTTTACCCAAAGCAACCCCGTCAAGATCCAGGTCATAATTACCCAAAAGCCTAAACCAACCAATGCGTATCGGAAGTCTTTTGCAACCTAAGCTTGCTCTTAAAGGCGACTGTGCTTCTCGCAAGAGGCGACTAACGGGATCGGGTGGTCAGGCTCGCTGATATGGTTGATGCATGTCATCGAATCCAAATTGCGTGGATCGATGCTCATGATATCAATTACTGATTGACTTGTCCAGATTCCTTTAATTACAGACCGCTGTTATCTCGCTGGAATATTGCTGAGTGCGGTGTTATACAACAAACAAACAAACACAAAACAAAGAGAAATGCCGCCATGGGCAATAGTTCAGTTATTTCAGCTCAATATGAAGCCACGTTCTGCGGATCCTGATTCTACTGAGGGCCGCAACTCAATACAGCGAATTGCGGCTTTAAACAACGTGACCACTCGTGCCTTGATCACATGAATTAACATGGTGTATCTGAATCACATCTTCCCTCTTCAAAACAGCATACACAAAATCAAATTTTGACATGCCATTAACGCATTTATTTCACACACACGTACACGAACACGTACCCGCACATTAACGCATATTGAATAATCTTCCGTTTGGATGGTGAAGTATCATATTTAGTAGATATGTTATTTAGCCTGGCAGCTGGATATATACTGTTCAGATCTCAAAGTTTAGTCATGAGAAACAGAATGATGTGCAATTCCAAATTTAAACAGACAATATATTTTGTTCATTACGATCAATTTCTGTTCACTGCTTATGCATTTATATTTGCTGACACATTTCGAATTTACGTTTTAGAACGTTTTGTTTCTCTCAAACGGATCATGTAAGCAATAAAATCAACACATAGCAAAATCAACACAGCCTGGTGGGTATCGATTCTCGGATGACGTTGTGTCATACTTGTAGTCAGACTCATCGAAGTGACAAAAAATAGACGAGAGAGAGAGGGCGAGGGAGAGAGGGAGAGAGAGAGAGAGGGCGAGAGAGAGAGAGAGGGCGAGAGAGAGAGAGATAGTGTGTGTGAGAGAGAGAATATGCAAGAGCGTACATGTACAAAAATTTGCATAATGAAACTATTATACTTTTAGACTCCGAGATAGTAAACATATAAAAGATTTTGTTGCTGTACCGAGGCCTTCATTATCCTGTACAATGCAAAAACTTTATTTTTGTTTTAATTGTATGCAACACTTGTAATGAGCTATTAACGTGAACATGTAAACTTCAATACACAGAAACAACAGAGGTCCATATCATATACATGCCCTTGTGCCATCATCTGGGAGCATTCAGCTATTGTAACTCACGCGCGTCTGGCGTATGATAACGGTATCGCTATGTTCTCATTTTCATACACCTCCTTTGATCAGTAAGATGGTACTTCTGTAACAGGTCCGTGCTAGGTCTGATTGTCTTCCTCACGCTGCTGGGCACGCTCTATGATGTGGTCACCGGAGAGGTTCTTAGAGTGAAAAGGAAATCTGATGACAACCACGATGACTACGACGGCGATGTCATTGCAGACTTCGACAAAAACATCGGCAGGACCAGTTTCAATAACGGTATATCCATTGTATCAATGAACGGGAAGCTGGTGGAGGGGGCTCCAGACAACGACAGTGTATCCACATCGACACTACCCTATGAGGATTACGACGAAGACCAGGAAGGTACGTACAAGACACGGTGTTCTCAAGGGGTACAACATCCATTTTGTGTATCAATTGTATCAATTGACATTTGACACATTGTCCCCGGTAGATGTATTGAGTGAGGTTGTACGCCATAAGCATCTATAAATTTTAAATTGAGCATTTCTTGATGCATTGGTAGGTGTTCATTTTTCACAGATGTTCATTGTCCAGAAGTCCCGTGAAGATTTCGGGTTAGAACTGGACTTCAGCAACCCATGCTTGTTGTGTGATGCGAATACAGCTTTTTTTAAAGGGTGTGTGTGTGTGTGTGGGGGGGGGGGGGGGGGGGGGGGGTGCACAATTAAGATCTATTTATTGTCTTTGGTGGTAATTTATACCCTGTATCCGCCCATGAAAACGCATCTATGGTACCCGTGTCAAATACATTGCCATGCGTAACCATATCTTGTCTCTTTCAGTTCTAACCCACGGGACTCCTTATCAAGTACATACTAGTATGTACCTTTAGTTTTATATTTTCAGGTGTGTGTCGGCGGTTGTTGCTGTGCTTTTCCTTCAGTCGTAACACGGAGAAGATATTCGACACCAGCAAGAGAGTGGGCAGCCTTGGGTGTATTCACGGCATCCGGGTTCTCAGCATGGCGTGGGTGATCCTTGGACACATGATTGTCTACACCAGGGGCGTTACAGGTTGACACACGTTACATATAGTCTTTTTTCATCATATTTACATTTAATATTGTCCATTGTTACACATACATGTCGACATATTTGTATCGCGATGGTGCCAGTTAATTTGAATATATCTCACAGGAAATCATTGTTTTTACCTGTCAGAGAAAACTTAACCATTACTTTTATGTTCTGATGACCTTATAGAATGTTTAAATGTTGTTTTTCAGACGAGAATGTGACAGAAGTTCTGAAGAAGGTGAAACACTTCACCATGCAGGCTGTGGTCAACGCGTCCCTAGCTGTCGACACGTTCTTCCTCATTGGGTACGTATACCAGTGGTGACGCAGTAACGGGAAGTTCTATTTCCATGTTCATTACGAGACAAGGACATCAACATTAACCTTGTGGTGTTTCAGGGGATGTCTGGTAGCGTTCTTGTTTCTGAGACAAGCCAAGAAAACCGGCAAGTTAACTGGGCGGCAGACGGCGATGTATTACGTTCATCGGTTCTGGAGGTTGGTGACAGACTGAAGTAGCTCCAAACTGTTCGTCATCTGTTAAATCATTATTATGGCGTCACGCTATTGTTGTTGCAGTTGAAACAAACATTAATACAGAGAAATTATAGATCAATCAGAACATGGTTGAAGTCGGAGAAATCACCCGAATCTGCTGATATCAGCGAAGAGAAATAAAGAAGTCCCTAGTGGATGGGATGGAGGGGATGGAGGTGAAGCTTGTTGATCCTACTCCCGGAATCAATAGATTCAGTTTCCCGATACATATATGAACGAGGTTATATATTCAGCAAATTTATCCAGATATCAAATTAAGCTGTTTTTATTTGTGCTGCGTCATCCATTGTGTAAGCCGTTTTATAATAACTATCTTTTCCTATCTAAAAGCTATGTTAATGTTACATCTTGTATAAATGGAGCAATAATATTCCTTTTGGGATTGCATTCCAACAAGCAAATCATTTAAAGCACATACTTCCTTCCCTCCCTCAAGAACACACGTGATGGTTTACGTAATCTGTATAACGGCAAGCTGTGTCGTGTCTCGCTCAGTCTAACCTGTGGCTGATGGCATGCACGTACTACACCGTGAGGGTTCGATCACACACAGTCACCGACAGCGGCCTTGTAGTGTACATTGTGTCTGCCCGGAGAGCGGGAGGTCGGTGGATCGATTGTCCGGTCCAGACTCGATTATTTACAGACCACCGTCACATATTGCTGAGCGCGGCGTTAAACAACAAACAAACAAAACACCACACGCACGCACGCACGCACGCACGCACGCACACACACACACACACACACACACACACACACACACACACACATACACACACAAGCACGTCAAAGCCCATGTCATATCATCTCACCTCACATATCCTGGCCATCTGATCCCCATCTCTCATCACCAGCAACTTGAGATAATGGTCCACAGGACACACCCCATCAAGGTAACTGTTCCATATGTTGCCTTGCAGACTGAGCCCCGTTTACCTGGTGATCCTGATGACCTACACGTGCCTCTTCAAGTACATGTTGGATGGCCCGCTAAAGTCGGACGGCCTCCACTATGACAATGTCCACTGCACGTCCAACTGGTGGACCAATGCCCTCTACATCAACAACGTATACAAGTCAGGTGAAGGTGTAAGTGCATTCATGATATTGTGTTTAAAAGTGTGTGGACCCGTGAAGATACGGGTTAGAATAGATCTTCACCAACACTTGCTTGCCATAAAAGGCGACTATGCTTGTCGTAAGTAGCGGACCGCCTCCGTGGCCTAGTGGTAAAGCGTCCGCCCGGAGAGCGGAAGGTCCGGGGTTCGATCCCCGGCCGCGTCATACCAAAAGACGTTAAAGATGGTACTTGTTGTTACCCTGTCTGGCGCTCGGCATAAAGGGGCTAAAACAAGGACTGGTCGGCTCGGAGTCAGTATACTGTGTCTGAGTGGGGTATTCATGTTACACTGCGGCATGTTATCTCAGTGTGCTAGCACTATAAATCGGCATCAGTCCGGACTAGTACAAGCAGCCACACACACATACATGTGCATGCACGTCGCTATATAGGTGCAGTAAGCTTGGACGCGACGTTAAACCAAATTTCGCCTCACCGTAAGAGGCGACTACCGGGATCGGGTGGTCAGGCTCGCTGACTTGGTTGATGCATGATGTCAATCACTGGATTGTCTGGTCCAGACTCAATTATTTACAGACCGCCGTCATTTTGCTTGAATATTGCCGAGTGCGGCGTTAAACAACAAACAAACAAACAAAATTTATGTGTCTTGTTGTATGTATCTTGATGTACCGTTAGACAAACAACAAACAAACAAAATATATGTAGTGTGATTCAAAATAGATGCAACGTTTTTGGTTTAAAATCACGGCACTGCCGGAATACAATGCTTGAGCAGATGAACACATGTAGCGTGTTTGCAACCTGTTTTTTTTTCAATTGTTCCGGACGGACGTACATGGTGGATAGTTTCTTATGTTGGAATGACTGTGATTAGTTTGTTTGATTGTTGTTTAACGCCGCACTCAGCAACATTCCAGGTCTATGTCGGCGGTCTGTAAATAATCGCGTATGGACCAGACAAGCAAGTGATTGAGATCGTGAGCATCGATCTACGTAATTTGGATACGATGACGTGCATCAACAAAGTAAGCGAGCCTGACCACCCGATCCCGTTAGTCGTCTCTTACAACAAGTACGGGCTGCTGAGGTCCAGTTCTAACCCGGATTTGTACAGGGGCTTTCTGTTACTGATTAAACTGACCGGGTCTGTGGGGTATCCTAGTGCTATATGCGTTCGCTCATCGCGCCAAAGACCCGGGTTCGATTCGACATCGTACAATTTGTGAAGCCCATTTCTGGTGCCACCCGCCGTGATATTGCTGAAATATTTCTAAGAGCGATATACTCACCATGCTCACTCATTCACTTAAACTGACCGTTATTGCCCGGAGACGGTCAGCATGATAATTATGTAAATCAGCTATTGCTACTTTATTTCAGTGCATGAGGTGGACGTGGTTCATGGCTGACGACATGCAGTTCTACATAATAGCACCCCTGACGCTGGTGCCTATTGTCCTGGGGTACGTATCAAAGTCCATCCGTCATTGTTTGTTTGTTGTTTAACGCCGCACTCAGCAATATTCCAGCTATATGACGGCGCCATCCGTTACAGGAGGCAATGGGGTTGCCTCGCGGGAAAAGCGTTCGCTCGTCATTAAATGTACCGGGTTCAATTACCCGCACTTCAGACGTACATGAGAGCTTCTGGTCTCTCCGGCGGTGATATTGATGGAGTATGTCTCACAGCGGCGTAACACCAGACTCACACATTCACTCTGTTTAAGTAGAATGATTACGATTACATGAAGTGCAAAACGACGGAAACCCGCTGTCTACGACACACATAATGACGAAATTATACCAACGTGATCACTTTGCCGAGACATATGGAGCTCGAGTTCATGGAGCTCGGGCGTACTCTGTGTTGATAAAGCCTGTCTTCCGAATATACCCAGTGAATGTACTGTGACCATTGCCCACTCTGTCAGTAGCTATAGTGTCTGTCCTTCCACTGCAGGCTTCAAGCACTTGGAGTCATCCTGATGGTGTTGCTCGTGTTCGTCCAGATCGCCACCTACGCTTACAAGGAATACTCCGTTGATGGCGCCATGCTCAAGTAGGTCGAGAATAAAAATCAGACAGTTTCAAATATCCATTCATAAAATTTTATTTTAATACAATTGTCATTAGATGTGCAGTGTACTTTTCACAAATATAGTGCGTGATTTGGATTATATAAACGTCTGAGTATATAGTTGGTGTACAGCAATCCTCGTACATTTACAAGGGCTGGTCAAAAGGTTCTCAGCCTGACTAACTTTCAACTATAATTGTCCATAACTATACTGGTCAATGTAGGACATTGATTGAGTAGTGCATTCCAAGTTATTTGGTCTGTTGAGGCCATTTATATATAGGTGACAGTCAGCTGAACGTGCTGAAACATAGGTCTACCACTACGATCCCGAGTGAAAACGTCAATCCATGAAATGGCACCATTCCACATCTCAGGCAACAAAGAAATACAAGTCTTCAAAATCAGTGAAGAACGTTACGGCCACTGTATACTGGGATGCAAAGGGTGTGATCCTTGTTCATTACTTGGAAAGTCAAAAGACGATTACTGCTGCCTACTATGCTCATTTGCCTCATCGCTGTCTCTCTCAAAGAAAAGTGGCGAGGAATGCTGCCTGCTGGAGTCATGACAATTCCTCTTCTCACACCTCTCGACTTGCAAAGGCTGCTGTGCGACAATGTGTGTTTGAAGAGCTTCCCCACCCCCCATACTCGCCAGACCTGGCACCAAATGATTTCCACCTGTTTCCTGAACTGAAAGAACCCCTTCGTAGAAAGCGCTGTGACGACAACGATGACCTCAAAGATGCCGTGAATGGGTTTTTCAGGGTGCTTCAGAAATCTTCTTCCTGACTAGAATAGAAAAGCTTCACTCTCGATATGAGAAGACTATTGGAAAGCAGGGAGATTATGTTGAAATATAAAGTTAAAAACACTTTCACAAGTGTTGGTTTTGTTTGTTAGGCTTAGAACGTTTTGACCAGCCCTCGTATGTTAATTAGCAACAGGGAATACTAGTATGTGAACACATATCTTTGGAAATCGTACAGAGCAACTCAAAGTGACATCATTTGTTTCTTACGTGTACTTGTTTTGCACAGGAATGATGAGCAGTTTATGCGAGAGATTTACTTCATGCCGTGGTGTCGTGTGGGCGTCTTTGCTTTGGGTCTGCTGCTAGGCTTCATCCTGAACAAGACTAAGTGTAAAGTTCACATTCCCCGGGTAAATACATCTTCCGTTCCAGTTCACTACATATGCGACGTCACGTGACCAAAAGATTACATTTGCAACAGTTTGGATGGTCAATATAATTCCAAGGCACGCTTCGTGGTAATGAGGTGTACACGTTCAAGGAATGGTGGAACTTTCGATCCCATAAAATTCGTACAATACGCTGGGCGGTGGGGCAGCCTAGTGGTTAAGGCGTTCGCCTGACATGGGTACAATGTGTGAAGGCCAATGCCGGTGTCCCCCGCCTCTATATTGCTGGAATATTGCTAAAAGCGGCCGTAAAACCATACTCACTCACTCACTCACTCAGCGCAATACGTCCTCGCTGTTATGTATGCTTCTGTGTTGCAGTTCGCCCTGGTGGTGGGGTGGCAGATCGCTCTGGCCCTCGGGCTGGTGTGCACGTACATCACGTGGAGCGAGTGGAAGGTGGGTCACATCAGCTGGGACAGGGACATGCGACTGACCCACGAGACGCTCTCCCGGCCAGCCTGGGCACTCTTCGTGTCATGGATCATATTTGTGTGCACCACGGGACATGGAGGTGTGTAGTCTCTTCGTGTGCCTGGTAGCTCGGCGCGGTAGTGTGCTTTTTGTTTGTTCTTTAACGCCGCACTCAGCAATTTTCCAGCTGTATATAATCATTGACATCATGAGCTTAGATCCACGCAGTTGGGATTCGATGACATGCATTAACCAAGTCTGCAAGCCTGACCACCCAATCCCTTTAGTCGCCTCTTACGACAATCAAGAAGGGGTTACTGAAGACCTATTCTCGCCCGGATCTTCACGGGTCAACAAAAACTAGTGTTTATACGTTTGGTTCTAATATTTGTTAAGATTTTGTTCGTTAATATTCCTTAATCAATGCTTTACTTTGCGACTGCAAACAACATATGCACAAAATGCAACGCGACTTGATAATAATTCATTTACAAAACCCATGACACAGAACGAATGGCGCAAACTCATCAGGAACGCCAATACATAGCCATGTTGTTTCTGTGACCAGGAATCGTGGACCGTCTGCTGTCATGGGGGGCGTGGATGCCGCTGGGTCGTCTTACATACGGGGCCTACTTGATCCACCCAATTCTCATCACGTACACCGACTTCTCGAAGAGAGCACTTGTCTATGTCGACTTCATCTTCATCGTGAGTACAAACGTCTCAATATCCATCCTAAGTGGCACCTGAATGGCCGCCGATCATACAGCGAGAGTATGAAATTGATATAAAGTGTATATAGTGATTGGCAATGGCCATGGTATGCATCCGTCGCTGTTTTCGCAAAATGGCATTCTGTGCCTGACATGATTGTGCACATTGTCCAGAAGGTCCAGAAAGATTTTCATATCAGTTAATAGAGGGCAAATCCTGCAGTAGTAACTACTGTCCTCGCAGAATGTCATACAGCGACATCTGTTTGTCCAGGGAGGTTTGTCCGGTGTTATGGTCCGGGTTGACACATTGACGAGTCATTGGGATAGATCAATGTTGCTGTGTAATACAGATACCTCTCCATCAAGATGTAACTATACTCAACAACAAAAGTTCCTGTGATACCAGTATTTTAGTGTATTTTTCAAACAAGTAAAGTTTCGTTTTCAATATTGTAGTACATGTTTGGAATCAAGTCACAAAAACGCAACTGCTACAGAAAAGCATGCATTCCATGCAAAAGTTGACTTTTATGCAAGCCCCATGCATTTCACTAACCAAGAATGGGTACAAAAACATGTGCGTTAACGGGATTCCATATGCATTGTTTAGCATCGTGCTGACAACAACCACAAAATTACGCAATTATTCAACATTACGAAATGCCACGGCTGTCCGAAAATGAGCGTCTGCGAGCCATTGGTATGCTTCAAGCAGGATCAAGTCAACGGGATGTTGCAAGACAATCTAAAGTCCACAGAAACACAATTTGGTGTTTATGGCAACGTTGGCAACAGACGAATGCAGTCAGAGACCATCCTCGGAGTGGCAGGCCACGCGAAACCAATAATCGACAAGACAACTGAATTCGAACAACACACCTACGAAATCGATTCCAGCCAGCAACAGTGACTGCAAGAAGCATCCCTGGCCTTCGACGAATATCTTCACAAACCGTACGTCGTCGCCTCAGATGTGCAGGGATTGTCGCCAGAAGACCCGCCAGATGTCCCACTTTGACAGGAAACCACCGTCAAGCACGTCCTCAGTGGTGCAGACAGCGTCTACGCTGGACGGCCATGCAGTTGGGACAAGTTCTATTCACTGACGAGTCTCGTTTTCAGCGATGGACGGATTCGAGTGTACCGACGACTCAATTGACAGCGCTACCGCCACGAGATCATCGCCCCTGTTGATCTACCGTTTTTGCGTTGTCCTGGCCCATATTGCTCGACTTGTTCAGGATTCTCCTCATCAAAACAACGTGAATGTCACCCCCTTGCCGGCTCGCTCCCCTGATCTCTCACCAATCGATCACATGTGGGATGAGATGGATCGGCGCCTTCGACGTCAACCACGTGTTCCACAGACACTCCAGGAACTTCGAAACATAAATATAAGCAGATATGGACAGATATCCCACACGATTTTGTGCGACGCCTGGTCCATTCCATGAGACGAAGATGTGTTGCTTGGATCGCAACCAGAGGTGGACACACATGCTATTGATTTGTAAATTGACATTTTGGCATGTTCGTGTTTTTTTTTATGAAATCACGCAATTTCTGAAGTCAGTATGACAAATTAAACCATTTGAACACTTACATGAGTCTTTTATCTGTTGCAAACCGAAATTGTTTCAGATTTGGTAAAAAGCATAACTTTGCAATAAATCTTATTCAATGTCACATGATCTTTTGTTGTTCAGTATAGATGTGTTTATCTCTGTGTGTTCCAGGCGTATCAGTTTATCGGAACGTTTGTGGTGTCCTACGGTGTGTCGTTCGTGTTCAGCGTCCTGGTCGAGGCTCCAACACTGGCACTGGAGACTGTGGCGCTCGGACGTTACAGGGGAGTCCGCTGATTATCCGACTCTGCACACCCTCATCTCACTCCCCTACAACGTGCCTCACACCCTCACGACGTGCCTCACGCCCCACACACCATCCACCTACCCTACTCACACCCACATGACGTCCCTCACACTCTCACAAACCCTCCTTACAACCCCAACCCCACTACGACCCAACTCCGAACCCAACCCCGAATACCACCCCTACCACACCCCATACCACACTGGAAACAGCAGCGCTGGGACGCTTGACAGGAGCCCGATGATCACTATATTCCACATATATACACCCACACCCCGACGTCCCTCCACACTCCCATACCCCCACTCTGGAGACAATGGCGCTGGAACGCTGAAGTGGAGCCTAAACCGCAGCTATAGAAGTGTACGATGACCTCCTAGCCGTCCTCCAGTATTCATAGCGAGTTGGCAAAAAATCAATTTGTACCATACTTTACCTGTTTTACAGTTAACCTTTTTAATCGTCTTCCTATGAAAGCTCCGAGTTGCAATCGTACACCTCTCATTAAAACAGACAAGTGTAGACCTGTGTATTATGTATACCACCGGTCTAGATCTATGCAGGGATGGTCTGTGGACACATGGATGTGACTCTTTGTGTTGGTGTGACGTACGTGACTCAATTACAATTATGTAAATAAGAATCAATAATATATGATATATAATATAATAATTTTGTTGTGACCTGTTGGATTCAGTAGATCATGGCTTGAATCGCGCAACAATACGTAGCATGGTGTGAAGTGGTGCATGTACTGTAACCAATATATAACATGGTGTGAAGTGGTGCATGTACTGTAACCAATATATAACATGGTGTGAAGTGGTGCATATACTGTAACCAATATATAACATGGTGTGAAGTGGTGCATGTACTGTAACCAATATATAACATGGTGTGAAGTGGTGCATGTACTGTAACCAATATATAACATGATGTGAAGTGGTGCATATACTGTAATCAATATATAACATTTTGTGAAGTGGTGCATATACTGTAACCAATATATAGCACGGTGTGAAGTGGTGCATGTACTGTAACCAATGCATAGCACGGTGTGAAGTGGTGCATATACTGTAACCAATACATATCACGGTGTGAAGTGGTACATGTACTGTAACCAATATATAACATTTTGTGAAGTGGTGCATGTACTGTAACCAATGCATAGCACGGTGTGAAGTGGTGCATATACTGTAACCAATACATATCACGGTGTGAAGTGGTGCATGTACTGTAACCAATACATAGCACGGTGTGAAGTTGTGCATATACTGTAACCAATGCATAGCACGGTGTGAAGTGGTACACGTACTGTAACCAATATATATCATGGTGTGAAGTGGTGCATGTACTGTAACCAGTGCATAGCACGGTGTGAAGTGGTGCATGTACTGTAACCAATACATAGCACGGTGTGAAGTGGTGCATATACTGTAACCAATGCATAGCACGGTGTGAAGTGGTGCATGTACTGTAACCAATATATATCATGGTGTGAAGTGGTGCATGTACTGTAACCAATACATAGCATGGTGTGAAGTGGTGCATGAACTGTAACCAATACATAGCACGGTGAAGTGGTGCATATACTGTAACCAATATATAGCACGGTGTGAGGTGGTGCATATACTGTAACCAATGCATAGCACGGTGTGAAGTGGTGCATGTACTGTAACCAATACATATCACGGTGCGAAGTGGTGCATGTACTGTAATCAATACATATCACGGTGTGAAGTGGTGCCTGTACTGTAACCAATACATAGCATGGTGTGAAGTGGTCCGTGTACTTTAACCAATATATATCATGGTGTGAAGTGGTGCCTGTACTGTAACCAATACATATCACGGTGCGAAGTGGTGCATGTACTGTGACATGTACTACTGCGCAAAGTGTTTCATCTGAAAACAGCAATGTATGGTAACAGGAACAAACACAACATACATATGCCTCTCTATGGTTTCCTAGAAAATAGTGGTTGGTGTGTACATTGAGTATAAATACATGTTGAGCTTATACGCATATGGCTGTAGATTTCGTAACATGAGTGGTCTTCTTACTATATAATTTATTTTGTTCTTGACCTTAAAGTTTTGATGTCAACATAAATGTCATTATGTAACAGAGAGCGGTGTTTACATAAGCCAGTTAGACCTGTTTACCAATCCCTTTCAAGGCAAGTTGAATAAAATATGTTAAAAGTACATAGCATGGCGGTACATGTGCTGTTGGCAATAGATCGCATGGTGTGAAGTGATGCGTATATTGTTTCATAGATTTCTGTGACTATGTGTCATATATTCATTGATACATTTCATAACATTATTTATTCACAAATTTACAGAAATGTACACTTACCGATTGGTGATATTATTTTCTACGACGTCTCTACACAATGTATACCAATATGTTTATTTTATATGTACATCCAGTAAACGATTGTGCTTGTCCATTTCAATTGTGTCGATATTATCTAACGGAAGCTAACAGAGAACCAGTGTTTCTCCATACTCCGTACCAGAATCACTCGGGGAGGAAGGAGAGGGGAGAGTGAGAGAGACACACACAGAGAGCGAGCGAACGAGAGAGCGAGGGGAGTGAGTTCCACGTGTTCATGAACATCATCTATTGTACATTTGTTTCCCTATTTACCTTATTTGCCTTACAGTATCACGTGCGCTTGAATCACAAAGTGTCAATCTTGAAATAATCGATGTATAAACCGCGTATGGATACATATAGTGCGGCGGAACGGAGTAAACAGCCCCACCTAGTATATTGTGCAATATGAGTTTGTTTATTGAAACTCCCATACACCGGAAAACTCATATCCAAACTTATTCGGAAAAATTAAATGATACGGTCTTGAGCTAGTAGACATTGCCTCAAGATAATGAGATCACTAAAGGTAGTTCCTGCTAGGTGACATCATATTTTATTTTTAAGTGCACGTGATCGTGGCTATATATCGGGAGTCATATTAAAACGTCTTGGGAAAATTAGGCAATCAGCCTTAGTCTTTTAAGACAGTAGACATAACACCGATGCATGGCGCTAGTTTTTTCTGCCAGGTGATATCATTTGCATAACTACGTCATCGTGATACCAGATTTATCGAACTAGTTCATCGCGTCGGAAACACTATCATGACAAGGATAAAATACCACAGACCTGACTGGAATGAGAGGAGCCGATGACGTAGAACGCCGCAGCCGACACAACGTTGGGGTATGATGACACAACGGCGAGGTATGATAACACAACGGCGAGATATAATGACACAACATCGAGGCATAATGACACAACGGTGAGGTATGATGAAACAACGGCGAGATAGGATAACACAACATCTAGGTATAATGACACAACGAGGTATGATGACACAACATAGAGGTATAATGACAACGGCGAGGTATGACGACAACATTAACGTATAATGACACAACGGCGTGGTATGATGAAACACTGGCGTGGTGTGATGACACAATGGCGTGGTATGATGATGCAATGGCGTTTTATGATGACACAATTGCGTTTTATGATGACACAACGGCGTGGTGTGATGGCACAACGGCGTGGTATGATGAAACAACGGCGTGGTGTGATGACACAACGGCGTGGTATGATGACACAATGGCGTGGTATGATGACACAATGGCGTTTTATGATGACACAATGGCGTTTTATGATGACACAATGGCATTTTATGATGACACAATGGCGTTTTATGATGACACAACGGCGTGGTGTGATGGCACAATGGCGTGGTATGATGAAACAACGGCGTGGTGTGATGACACAACGGCGTAGTATGATGACACAATGGCGTGGTATGATGACGCAATGGCGTGGTATGGTGACACAATGGCGTGGTGTGATGGCACAACGGCGTGGTATAATCACACAACGGCGTGGTATAATGACACAATGGCGTTTTATGATGACACAATTGCGTTTTATGATGACACAATGGCGTGGTATGATGACACAACGGTGTGGTGTGATGACACAACGGCGTGGTATGATGAAACAATTGCGTGGTGTGATGACACAACGGCGTGATATGATGACACAATGGCGTTTTATGATGACACAATGGCGTGGTATGATGACACAATGGCGTTTTATGATGACACAATGGCGTGGTATGTGACACAATGGCGTGGTGTGATGGCACAACGGCGTGGTATAATCACACAACGGCGTGGTATAATGACACAATGGCTTTTTATGATGACACAATTGCGTTTTATGATGACACAATGGCGTGGTATGATGACACAACGGTGTGGTGTGATGACACAACGGCGTGGTATGATGAAACAATTGCGTGGTGTGATGACACAACGGCGTGATATGATGACACAATGGCGTTTTATGATGACACAATGGCGTGGTATGATGACACAATGGCGTTTTATGATGACACAATGGCGTGGTATGATGACACAACGGCGTGGTGTGATGGCACAACGGCGTGGTATGATGAAACACCGGCGTGGTGTGATGACACAACGGCGTGGTATGATGATGCAATGGCGTTTTATGATGACACAATGGCGTGGTATGATGACACAACGGCGTGGTGTGATGGCACAACGGCGTGGTATGATGAAACAACGGCGTGGTGTGATGACACAACGGCGTGGTATGATGACACAATGGCGTGGTATGATGACGCAATGGCGTGGTATGATGGCACAATGGCGTGGTGTGATGGCACAACTGCGTGGTGTGATGACACAACGGTGTGGTATGATGACACAATGGCGTTTTATGATGACACAATGGCATGGTATGATGACACAATGGCGTGGTGTGATGGCACAATGGCGTGGTAAGATGACACAGTGGCGTGGTATGATGACACAATGGCGTGGTATGATGACACAATGGCGTGGTATGATGACACAATGGCGTTTTATGAAGACACAATGGCGTGGTGTGATGGCACAACGGCGTGGTATAATCACACAACGGCGTGGTATAATGACACAATGGCTTTTTATGATGACACAATTGCGTTTTATGATGACACAATGGCGTGGTATGATGACACAACGGTGTGGTGTGATGACACAACGGCGTGGTATGATGAAACAATTGCGTGGTGTGATGACACAACGGCGTGATATGATGACACAATGGCGTTTTATGATGACACAATGGCGTGGTATGATGACACAATGGCGTTTTATGATGACACAATGGCGTGGTATGATGACACAACGGCGTGGTGTGATGGCACAACGGCGTGGTATGATGAAACACCGGCGTGGTGTGATGACACAACGGCGTGGTATGATGATGCAATGGCGTTTTATGATGACACAATGGCGTGGTATGATGACACAACGGCGTGGTGTGATGGCACAACGGCGTGGTATGATGAAACAACGGCGTGGTGTGATGACACAACGGCGTGGTATGATGACACAATGGCGTGGTATGATGACGCAATGGCGTGGTATGATGGCACAATGGCGTGGTGTGATGGCACAACTGCGTGGTGTGATGACACAACGGTGTGGTATGATGACACAATGGCGTTTTATGATGACACAATGGCATGGTATGATGACACAATGGCGTGGTGTGATGGCACAATGGCGTGGTAAGATGACACAGTGGCGTGGTATGATGACACAATGGCGTGGTATGATGACACAATGGCGTGGTATGATGACACAATGGCGTTTTATGAAGACACAATGGCGTGGTGTGATGGCACAACGGCGTGGTGTGATGACACAACGGCGTGGTGTGATGGCACAATGGCGTGGTGTGATGACACAACGACGAGGTATATATATATATATACAACATATAATATACAATACAGATCAAGATGGTAACAAACCTCAATAATTTTTATTTTTTACACTTTAACGTAATAATGAGTTCAAATGTACAATGAATATGGACAGATGTTTCAAAGTGGATATATATATATATATAGGTGATAACGCTTTACGCAGTTTACACATATTTGGCCAGATATAACAGTTCTTTGGGGTGTAAAGAAGTCGTTGTTATAAAAAATATAGTGAAACTCGTCTCCAACAGCAGATGAATTGCATAGTGTACAGACACGGTCTTCTCTCAGTAACCCTCTCAATCGGCCGGTTTCAATGGGCAAATGGTGATTGGATGTGCGAAATTGTAAAGTGTACGATATGATATGAATCAGTATTGCATGACTTGGGGTCGATGCAGTGCTAAAGATATCGCTGATATTCTGGTCATGATTAGGTAAGCAGGATGGGAAATATGTGGTTTGGCAATAAGCCAATGTAGTTGCTCAGCAGGAGAGTTCGCGGGATATACTTGGAACACCTGTAAGATAACAGTTACTATTGTCATACTCTTTGTGGACCTATATTTACCATGATATAGTTGATCCCTACGTGAGTTGGATCCTTACGTGTCTTATAATGAGATATAAATAATTCTAATAAAAGCGATTGTGTTGACATACGATCTAATACATATGTCTGTACACCCGACGCAGATAGAGCTAGACAACTGCAGCGTGAACGTGAGTACCCATGTACTTGTATGTTGTCTTGATGAGAGATTACTTAGCCTTGAAGCTACCTAGAATTAGCCTAGAAACTGACACTTCACCGTCAGACGAAACGTTCCGAGGTATCAGTTTAATGTAAAACTGGGTCATCGTCTATTTGCTGACATAAACGTTTACAGATTTCAGTCATATTGTGGACGTAATATAAATAATGATTTTGCAATCACAAATATTAATTGACGTAAACAGCAGCATAAATGCTATGAAGTTTGTTGTTATTTCTTTGTTAGTTAAAGGGGTACCCGGGAGTAGAGTTGTCAGCACTGTATTCCTGTATTCCTCGTAACAAACAGAATGGAAGACGTAAGGAAACAACAACGTCATATGTGTTTTAGATGAGTCGGCCTTAGCAAAAGTATCTTCGTAGTCCAAATATGAGTGAGTGAGTATGGTTTTACGCCACTTTTAGCAATATTCCAGCAATATCACGGCGGGGGACACCAGAAATGGGCTTCACACATTGTACCCATGTCGGGATTCGAACCCGGGTCTTTGGCGTGACGAGCGAACGCTTTAACAACTAGGCTACCCGACCGCCCCTCGTCCAAATATAAACAGTGGAGACCTCATCACGGGTATATATGTAGGAATAGTTAAATACTATTAAAGGTGACAAAAATTGTCGGATCAACGTGAGACAACAGTAGTATAAACTGGATCGATGTTTTAATCTCTGGTTATAAGCAAAATACAATGAAAAATAGACCGATGTACAGTTAACATGGGCAAATTTAAAAATGATATAAGTTATAATGACCACCTCAATATAGTATAAAAACGTTTGTGGTACAACGATCAAATACAAATGTGATCCTACACTGTGTTCGATAAACATTTGTATTCTCAAGGAATATGAAATATGAACGATA